GCTTATGAACAGATGTTCATATGAGTGTCAACAGCGCGTCAGTCGTCGTTCAAATGTGATACATGATTATTTTGTGGAAAAAATAGAAATATGCCAAATTGTGCCATTATATCATATCGCGTAAATAGCCAAAGTTTACAAAATACTAAAACTCGGTATTTTCTAATATTTTGAACAATACAATACTATAATTTCGAAACAAAACTATTTTCTTGCAACCCGGTAATAACAATATACATTGGTTGCTAGCCATCGCTGCCGTGAAAAGAACAATTCGAATGATGGTCAATGAATTGCTTGCACTAGGGTCGTATTACACTTGGTACTGGGTCCGCGTGTTGTAATCAAATTATCGATATGTAGAAACTCTGTATTTAGAAACCCGGTTTTGGTTTAGTTCAAAATTTTTTTTTATTATAGCGGTACCAATGTGTAAACATAAATTGTTTACAGGTATTTAAAAGTTAACAATTTTGATTACTTAGATTACTTAAATGTTTGGCTAACACTCGCATGTAAAAACGATATATTAATGGAAAAAAAGGAAATAAAGATAGAAGAGGTACAGTTTCGATAATTTTACAATGCACGTAAGCTCGTGGAGTATCAAATGAAGACTTTATGAGATTGGAGATTTTCTTTCCCTTATCTACATAATTCTTATCTCCCTACTTGCTTATTATACGTATACGTAATATTCATCTGCTCGAGTTCTTAGTTTTATCACAGGAATAATTTACATTAGCAGTTTTTGTATTGATTTTTTTAGTTTTCCTCTCCGGATCTTTTTAAAGGCGAAATGGGCTGAAGCAACAGGCAGTAAAAGCTGGGTATCTACTAAATGTAGCACCATATGATATAGGCATTTTATGACATCACAATAAATTATATACATATGAATAACAACCGAAAAATTCATTAAGAAATAAATCATTTGGTTAATCAGGGAATATATGACATGAAACTCAGAGTCGCCTTCACAAATTATAAACCACATCTAAATGTGAAAACATTTCTGAAGCACTGTCAGTTATTGTCAAGTTTTCATGAAACAAATGACTCGCTTCTTCGCCTTCGGAAATAAGTATCTTCATTTTCTTGACAAGCTCGTCGACGCTATAGGTGTAGTTATGTTCAGTCAGTTCAGAAAGATTAATTATTGATGAAATATATCATATTTCAGGGAGAATAAAGATTTTTATGATGACTGTGTTTTAATATTTCAACCCTTCCAGTGATCGGATTGACTTGAAATCTAGTAGGTTAATGAAAGTACGATGAGAGTATAATAAATCTTTAATACTGTGATTGTAGCATGTAGCTACGTATACGCACACTCCTGCGTAGTTAATATCAATTAATATTTGCGTGTAGTAAAACCTTATGCGTATTTGGTGACAAATGTTTGCGTGTAAAAGTCAGCTACGCTAGTTCTCGCAGAAATTGCTTTAAATGCCGTTTCCATATACTCTGTGGTTAACCCTAATTATAGCAAGTATAAGGCAATGCCTAGTTCAATATTTCGCTAGTTATGAAACAATGTCGATAACAATTAAATGTCACATCCCTATCTGTAGATTGTCAACTTTTTGCTTTTGTTCCAAGAAGTTTATGTTCATAGGATTCTTAGCTTTTATGTGACTAGTAATAATAAAACCTTATTATTTCCAAATAAGTTTCAATTTTTTTTACCAAAAGTTTTTAATTATTGTCTATTTTCGTTTGATAATTTATAACCAATCAAAATTATGTTATCTTGGTACTAATGACGACACCGGTTTTGATACAAATGTTGCTTGAATGCCATTTCCATTCTTTCCTTTCTTCCGTGGAACAATAGAACAATAAATACAGTAGAAGTGGTTAGTTAGCATCGCACGCGTGCCAACTGTGGGCGTGGTTACGCCTATTTGAGTTCAGTCCGCCATTTTCGCTTAGTACGTTTTGGTTGTGTCAATTTTTACGCGCGAATTGTCTGAAATCGTAGAAAAATGTTTTATTGTGCAGTTTTGGAATGAAAAATATTATCCGTAGTGGTATTTCATATCATCGTTAAGCCGTATTTTAATAAATTTTCCATTTTCTGTTTATCGAATTGATTTTTTGTAAACATTATCCCAGAGCAATATGGTCGAGTTTTATCTTTTGGAGAACTAATTAAACATCTCGAATTTTGCACTCTAGTAGCGAACAAAAGCTTAGCGAGAAAAATGCTTCATTTCTTTGTTAATTTTAAACTTAATTGATCGAAACAAAGTTCATTATGCAACGTGTACGTTAAAGACATCTGTTGTCAAGAAGATACTACTTTCTATTCGTTCAGATGTTAATCGGTCGTCGTAGTCCAGCTGCTGGCCGCAAAATGGCAGCACGTTGAATAAAATTTCAATGTACAATCAAAACGTCGTAACTTGTAATAAAGATATTGGACTTTCAACAATAAAGCGACTGGGTAAGGTTTAAATTATATTAGCAGTCCAGAATTTGTTACTTCTTTTTAAATTAGAAACTACGGCCAATAATTAACAAAATTTCATAGTGTTTATCATTTGTTTGTGAGTTTTGGCGACATCGGTTCTGATAATAATCGAGGTTTAAGGCGCTACTTTTAAACTTCTTCTTGGCGTGTGGACTCTGACATTCATATTTGTGATGACCAGTACTTAGCGAATGAGACAGCCATCGAGTATATAACCAGAACTAGAGACGAAATAAGGTCCATCCACCCCTTGCCACTCATCAGGCAAATGGGCCTTATATCACTTTTAAATATCAACTCTCGTTTGCGCTGAAATCTCAAATTAGAAAACTGGAATAGTACAGCGCCAACAACTGACCTGTGTGTACGTCCCCGAATATCTCAAAAATATTCTGTATTTATTGTAATAAAGATAATAGATAGATAATATCTCTAACAATGGGGGGCTGTTCTATTCGGTGGTGTGGAAAAAACAGCAAAACATCTAATTACAAAACAAACGGAATCACATTTCATCGGCAATTAAATATGTAATTCTCCAATTGTCATCCATAATAGCAAAGCTCAAGTTAAACTGGTTGTTTTCAAGTGACGACACTCGTCAATTGTTTCGAATGGCTGGCCAATCGGAGCGCAGTTGTCACTGTAATGATTTGGCAGAATAGTTTACAAACAAATTAAATGACATTTCGTCTCTATTTCTGGTTATATACTCGATGGATTATTATCAGTAGCGTAGTACAGGTCTTCGCGTGTGCAGTTGTAGGCACACTATTATCTGTGGAGAGATTCTACGTAGACATAAGCTCTCAGAGCTACAACCCCACCCGTGCATGGTCTCCATACTTTTTTTTACCGATTTCAGTCCGCAGTCTATTTAGAGACTTCCAAGTTTGCCAAGGAAGGTACTCCGACAGCAGAACGAGTGATGCCGTGGGGTATCTCCTTCCAGAGACTTATTCGGGCTTGGTTAGTTTTCCAGGGGGTATATTGCTTTTAATAATCCATCACATTTTACTTTCGTACAAAAATAGATCGCTCCAAAAGGTGATAACTCTGTGTAGTAGCAAAGGAAAGCGCTAATGTAAATAGCAGTCCGATGCAAAATGCACGAAAGGGGGTAGGGTTCGTCGGGAAGGACGCTTGCACGTTGGAACTTACTACCTCACTCTTTCATGTCACATAGCATGAGTACCGTGACCTTTGAGATTTGAAGTTTAATGAATGTAATGTGTAGTAACGTAAAATCAATTTAAATATCTTATCGAGATAATTTGTAACGAAGGGAGAATCGATTTAGGGACAGTAATTTAAGAACAAATAATAAACAAAATAAGTAGGATCCGACAATTATATAAAAGGCAAAAACGCATATAGGCATGATGGTAAACTTATAAAATTAATAATTTCAAAATACTAAAGATGCTGCAGAAATTGAATTTATAAAATTAATTTAGCAAATGTTTAGTTTTTTTTCTATCATTACATAAGGCGATAATGTAATGAGAAAGCCCGTGGGCGTAATACAGCACATTACAGCCGACTTTGCCAGCATGTTATGATTGATGAAAAATTTGGTTAAAACTCACCCGGTAACTGCGAGAGAGCCATCTCCTTGAAACGCAATGCAGTACACCGGCTTGGCATGGCCCTCCTGGTGCAGCACCTCCGTTGCTGTAATATAACAATAATTTTATAAATAATACAAAGGGTAAGGGTGAAGTTCCAGTCACATGGAACTTCTCAGGGGTCACCCTGAGAAGCATTGGCAATGGGTGCATTGGCAGTACCCCACAGATCTTTGCGATTTAAAGCTCTGAGTGCCACTGCAACTGTTATGGATATGCGTGTCGCTTACGACCAGGGTCACGCCCTGTTCGTCCCGTCACCTGATATTATTAAAATAAAACAAAAATCAGAGAAAAAATCCTTCGAACCACCGACATTTTCGCCTAACGCGAGCTATCCTGCTTTCCCGAACTACCTTTATATTGATGTCTATTTTAGCTTCTAGTGAGAGTTAGTCCAGGGAAGTAATGCCACCTTATCTATCTCTGCCGCCAAGCAGTGATGTGAGTTCTGGTTTTGAAGGGTTTTGGGACTTATGTCTCAGGATGACGGGCGCAATGGCAGTGTCTCTCAAATCTTTGCGATTTAAAGCTCTGAGTGTCACTGCAACTGTCATGGACAGGCGTGTCGCTTACCACCAGGCGCTCGTCTTATTCGTCCTGTAACCTGTTATAATAAAAAAGCCCCACGTGCTTGTATTTCAGCAGCACCCTTACCCTTCAAAACCGGACGAACTCTACTCTGGCCGGACACAATGAAGCTATACTTACTTTGTGACAACTTCTTTACAACCTGAGTTTTGATAAACAAAAATTTCAACTAGAGTTCATATGACTTACCTGTGTGCAGGTCCCATAATCTCCAGGAGTGGTCGAAGACTGTGGCCCCCAGGAACCTGCCCGAAGGGTGGAAAGCCAATCGGGCCACACGGGCTGGACTGTGGCCTTCCAGAGACGCTATTGGAGATTCACTGTGGACAATTTGCATTTTACAGAGTGTATCGCGCCGGTGGACATCGACGGAGTCTGGGTGTGGACCGGTGTTGGTAGACGAGAAAGGACAGTGTCTCGGGCTGCACACACGCTACCTACAAACTGTCCTATGTTTCGCCTAGTGCCTATCATGGTCGTTCAAATTAATAGGAAGCACAAGTCAAGTGGAATCCCAGCCCACGTCTAGTCCCCCGGTGATGGAAAGGGGAAGGCTGAATCAAATTATGCAATTCCAAATGATAAGCAGGCGGTGTTCAAGGCTCTGCAGCTTCACCTCTACTAATTCCGAGTCACCTATAAGCTTCTTGTTATTCGATTTCATAGCGATTAAAATATGCAGTGTTGCTATTTAACATAATCTCATTGCACGATCCCGAAATCTTCTCAAGCAATGTCTGAAGATTCAGTTCTAAACCCCGATATATTTATAGTGGGCACGTAAGAAATAACCTCTGTACATAGCAATAAAAAAACCGACCTCAAAAGTCGCCCCCTATCTCCATCCCCTAGTTTGCTACCCTTAGAGGTGGAATATTATCTTCAAATTTAAATAGGACCACAGCTGAGGTACCCTCTTTCCAACAAAAAAAGAATCATCAAAATCGGTTCAAAAATGTTAGAGTTATCGCGTAACATACATACAGTCGGTTAAAAAAGGGGGGTTTAATATAGTTTCAGACAAACTGAACACGACACAAATAGCCTGCCCTTAGAGTGACTCAGACCCGCGGCAAGGTCAAAAATGGTGATCACAGAACAATAAATACAGTAGAAGTGGTTAGTTAGCATAGTCCGCGTGCCAACTGTAGGCGTAGTTCCGCCTACTTGACCTCAGTCACACAATGTTGTTAGTATTTTAAAAATAACCCTGCATTAGGGGCCACGACCAGCCCTGGTGCAGGACCCTTGAATTCGGTTAGTGTGATAAGCATGTCACCTGACAAAATTCCACAAATGCACAGAGCCGTCGTAGGCGCACGATGCCATGGTACAAACTTCGGACTTTTCATCGCAAATCTCCATTTCTGACGACGAGGACTCTTTAATAGAGTTGATCTGTTAATAAAAAACGCTAAAATTAAAAACACATACACCAAAATAGCAGCAATAAAGCTCCTTGTGAAAGAGTACATGAAAAACGGGCGCAGTGTATTTCAACGCCGTCGAGTATATAACCAGAAATAGAGATTAAATGTCATTTAATTTGTTTGAAATCTATTCTGCCAAATCATTACGGTGACAACTGCGCTTCGATTGGCCAGCCCGAATTCGATACAATTGACGGGTGTCGTCAATTGTTTCACTCAAATCGACCAGTTTAACTTGAGCTTTATTTTAATATTCAATTACCGATCAAATGTGATTCCGTTTGTTTTGTTATTAGATGTTTTGCTGTTTTTCCCACACCACTGAATGGAACCGCCAAAAAATCATTGATAAAGATATTATCTTTATTAAAATAAATACAGAATATTTTTGGAATATACGGAGACGTACACACAGGGTAGTTGTTGGCGCTGTACAGAATTCTAATTTGTGATTTCAGCGCAAACGAGGGTTGATATTTAAAAGCGATACAAGGCTCATTTACCTCATGAGTTGCCAGGGATGGATGGCCCTTATTTCGTCGGAGAAAATTCAACACACGACTGACGGGGCAGTGGGCGGCACGGCGTTAAACCGCTGGCAATTTTTAAATTTTGGAATAATTGTGAATTTAATAACCATAGGGCTTCAGTAATCAACCAAAGAAAAATATCTCCATATGAAAATTATGTGGTATGTTAGATATTTTGTTGTGTTTGTATGTATGATCGGGTAAAAGTACATGTTATCGTGTACCTAACAAATTAGCTCGTTCCTTAGACAATAAATATCCTTAGGTGTATCGCATATTTTTTGTAAGGCTGTTATTTAATAGTAAATACCTATACCATTTGATATAGCAAAAATATTTTTCCCGCTTCCCCTCCAGTGACTCCCTTTAAATAATTCAACTAGACAATCATATAAAACTTAATGACGCGCAATTTGGTTTTAGATCCGGACTGTCCACGGAGACAGCAGCTCTTTGTCTTAAGCACACGATCCGATACCACACAGTCCTATCTGTACAAACACCTCTATTCGCATGTTTACTGGATTTGTCGAAGGCCTTTGACTTGGTGTCCTATGGTAAATTATGGCAGAAGTTGTATGAAGACACAACACTGCCCGATGATCTGGTGGAGTTGTTCAGGTTTTGGTACGGTCACCAGACAAATGTCGTGAGGTGGGCAGACACGCTATCCGATCCATACAGGTTGGGGTGTGGGGTGAGACAGGGGGGGCTGACGTCACCCAGGCTCTTCAGCTACTATGTCAATCGGTTAATGACCTCAGCAGCACTACGGTAGGCTGCTCTGTGGATGGGATTTTTGTGAACAACATAAGTTATGCAGATGACATGGTGTTGCTGAGCCCGCCAATCAGCGCCCTTAGAGAGCTGGTGGCTGTATGTGGGCAGTATGCGGAGGTACAATACCTCTAAAAGCGAGTTGCTGATCTTTGAGGCGAAAGGTGCAATATTGTCCGCTCAAATACCGCCTATAAAACTTAATAGCACGCCTTTGAAGCGCGTTATTGAATTTAAGTAACTGGGTCACTGCAACTCTTAAGGATGACGTGGACTTGGAACGGGAGCGTAGGGCGCTGTCAGAAGCACCATGTTGATCCGTAAGTTTGCAAAGTGTACAAAAGACGTAAAAATGACACTCTTTAGAGCATACTGTCAATCATTTTACACTTGCAGTCTATGGATCCACTATACGCAAACGGCATACAGCGCCCTAACAGTTCAATACAACAACGCGTTCAGGATGTAGTTCGGGCTGCAGGGCCATTGTAGTGCGTCCGCAACGTTCGCAGAGACGCGAAAGGACGGGTTTCACGCCATTATGCATAAGCGCGTTGTGTCGTTGTTGCGGCGCGTGCGCACAGAGTCGACGGTCTATTTATACAGGCATGGGAGGCTCTTCATGCGAAGGGATTAATGTTATAGAAAATTTGTATTTACTAACTTCGTCATAAGGTTACAATTGTTATGTGTCGTTACATAGTAAATACCATTTGATATAGCAAACATGTTTTTCTCGCTTCCCCACCAGTGACTCACTTTAAATAGTTTTGCATTTCTTTTTTATATATCGTACTTCTTATTTAGTATGAAAAACCTCTAATTTACAAAATTTAATACATTGTATTTTTTTCTTTTGTTCAAGTGTCGCCAACTCTAGTTTCAAGTATGTACTGATAACTCGAGTTACAATTTACTTGATATATATACCTTGTCGGTGAAATGCTGAGGGAGTTTGGCGTCCGGATGGAAGACGGCGCAGCTGACGTTGCAAGTGTGGCCCTTGAGCACCTGAAGGGGGACACAGTCCGGGACAGACCACACTTTGCTTAAACCGGACCTGTCGTGTTACAAATAAATAATATTCTAAGTCAAATAATTTTTATTTCATAAGTAAGAATTATTTCATTCGTTCTTTCGTAAGGCAGATTCCCCTGAGAAGAATGAGTAAGAAAGTCTAGGGGTTGAAAAATGTTTATTAGTAGCAGTAGAGCTTATAGTGAAAGAGATAGTCCAGGGAAGTACTGCCACCTTATCTCTCTTTGCCGCCAAGCAGTAATGTGGGCAACACTGCGTTCCGGTTTTGAAGGGTAAGGGTGCTGGCGAAATTACAGGCATATGCGACTTGTCAACTTATGTATCAGGGTGACGGGCGCAGTGGCAGTGCCCGTCAATTCTTAGTGATTTAATAAGTGGCACTGTGATTTTTAGGGATAGGCGTTGTGGCTTACCACGCACGACTTGTTCTTCACATGATATTATCAAACAAAATTTTTTTTTCAGGTAATCTAGACATTTCGCAGGTCAATAAGTACATAGCGACCTCATCATAAGACAGAACTTACAAATTTTGGACACCAGAAAATTAGTCTAAGGAACTTCTTGACCATAATCGAATTATTAATTAAATATAGTAAACTAACGTCGAGTGAGTTGTTAATTTTCGTTAAATAAAAATAATGTTGTAATAAAAGCCGTTCCATTCATTCAACAATCAAGACCAGCCTCGACTTGTTCGTTGCGTCAATTGGTAAAAAAAGAATAGGTCATAGTAAAAGTCCACTCTATAAAATCTAGGGAAAAGAGTACAGTAATAATAATAATAATAATAATAACGCACACACTCAACATAGCCCCGCACTAGGGAAACCCTGTGTCGCGGGTGCCATGGACACACACATACACAACCACAAATTACACCCAAACTCACGAGAGAAATAAATGTAGGTCATACAAATATTTCTCCCGGCCCGGGAATCGAACCTGGGACCTCTGCGTGGCAGTCCGGCGTGGTAACCGTTCGGCCACCGAGGCAGTTCATATATATATATAATCATATATAAGCAGTAGATAGTACTTTACATATAACCCGTAAAAGGCGTGAAGTATCGACCCCTCCTACGTAAAGTATCGTATGTCGAAATTGCCAAGTTTACAGGGAAGCGTTTTATAATTCTCAATTCACTGCAATGAGCATAATACGTGATTTTAGCATTTCTCAATTTTATTCGGCAAAGCTCGTTACTCATATAGAGTATTGTAAAATCCTAGATGTCGGTTAGATGATCACTCTATGTCAGTAATGAGGTTTTGCCAAATAAAACGGAGAACTTTGAAACGCTCCCCTGTAAACTTGGCAATATCGACATACGATACTTTACATAGGAGGGCTCGATATGTATACATACATATTATATACATGCATTTGCCCTTCGTCCATTTGAGGGTCGATTCTGAACCTTACGATAACTCAGTTGTCGACCGAGTCGATTAGATATCGCACGATTTCTTTTCATTTGTAACAACACCCGAATCGAAAGTCAAACTGTCGTATTCGAAACCGTACCGAAATGACGTCACTCGACCGAGCTTCTCGACCGGCAAAAGCTACAAACATTATTCAAAACACAGTTGCCGAATTAAAGTTACCGAACGTCCTATTGTTTACAAATGTAATATGGAAATCTCTTATTATTTTAAATAAAGTCTGGATTTTGTTCAATTTTATTAATTTATTTTAATGCAAGACTAATGCATTCCTTTATTTTAGGCCTTTAAAGTCTTAAAAATGTATGTAAAAGGTTTTTAATTTTTCTTATGATCTATTTCACCGACTAAAGATATGGTATCCGTATCCGGATCGAATATTTAACTAGGAATGTTCTGAATAGCTCGGAAAGCGCCCTTCGATTCGAGGACGATATGCCATGAAATAATCCGGTTAAAATACCGAAAAGTACTGAATCTGGGCCCAGAATACCTCGCTACATTCCCCTTGGGGATTGAACCCCAATAAAGAGTTAAGTCTTTTGATTAGACAACTTACCAACTAGCCGTAATCAACATTTTGCTGTCATTACTGAATCTGCAGAAACTAATTGGCCGCGTATCACCTATCTGTAAATAACAAACAAAATATTTCGATGGGTTCTAAATATAAGGGCCAAACTAACAATTTGACACACTTAGAGGTGGATGATTTTCTTCAAAATAAATGGGACCACTATGGAAGTACCCCCTTTCCAACAAAAAAAGAATCATGAAAATCGGTTCACAAACACCGGAGTTATCGCGTAACATACATACAGTCGAATTGAGAACCTCCTCCTTTATTGAAGACGGTTAAAAAGGGAAAATGTTTGGGCATCTGATACGTCAAGGCAGTTTTCTTCAGAACCATCACAGAAGAGAAGATGGAAAGAAAGAGAGTTCTAAAAAAAATAGGAAGAAGTTTTTTTCCCGAGATGGAAAGAGACTAAATAATGCCTATTCACCAAAATAAACAGGCCAGGGAAATCCATTCCATGGCCGTTCGCCATGTAAATGTCGAAGCGAAAAGCTTCGTGCGAATTCTTGGAATATGCACAACATATGATGAGGTGGAAGCCGTAATAGAATGAAGCGTTCATGTACGTACCTGACTGCAGTATATGGTAACTCCTGAAGCTTTCCTCTGTGATTCTTGTTTAGCAGCTGCCCGTACACTGCCAGGCAGTTTCAAGTCTTCTCTTGCTTTATTCAATCTGGAAAAATAAAATTGACATTGCTTATGATTTATTTATTTATAGCCTTTATTTCTGATAACTTACGCACTAACTTATCTAACACAGAAACATTGTATAACATGCCTACTTATTATATGTTACTTATTTATTATTACTCAAGTTTGTTGACTTGGTACCTTCAGCTTGTCCTAAGACATAGGCCTCTTCCAGATCCATTTCTCCTTTCTTTTGCTGTTTACCTCCATGCTCCTCCAGCAACTTGTTTAAAATCGTCTTCCCATATAAATTATGATCTCCCTTTCTTCCTTTTTCCCTCTGTTCCTTTTAGTAAACGACCACGTCTGGCTGATTATGGTTATTAACACAAAGTTTGGACGGATTGAAACCTAAATAACGCGTATTCACTCTCGCCTTGAAAAGGCCCAACTTATAACGTTCAGGGAACAAGTCTGCAGGCAGGGAATTCTACTAAATAGCAGTTCGCCATATAAATGTGGAAGCGTAACGCTTCGTGCGAATCTTTGGAATATCCACAACATAGGGATGGTAAGCAGTATTTAATTGATAAATGTTTTTATAATATAAATGATTATATGAATACGAGATGGATAAATCCATCCAGGGCCCAATTATAATTATTTTTATATCTAGTAGGATTACATAAGATTACAGATGTATTTGACTAATTTATGTTATTATTGACTTTCATTCATTTTTGACATGCGCATATTTTATGGAGGCTTAGAAATGTATATTATTTAAGTTTGACATTAACATGCTTTTTCGCTTTATTTTTGACATTGTTAATTTTTGACAGTTTTTTACTAGTTTTTGACAGTTTTTAATTATAATATTTTGTACATTATGCGACCACCACTAATTATATTTGTATGTTTCAACGAAACTGGTTGTAGTAGCACTGTTAATGTATTGAACTGATCTGATGAACTAATTGTACCTACTTCCACAAATGTTGGAGTTATTTGCCTGTCATGTATAAAAAAAAAAATCGATCTTTATCTGTTATCTCTTTTATCTTTTACCCCAGCCTATGTCTGGTTTCCCGATGGAGAAAAGGGGAAGGCGGAATTAAACTGTGGGGGAAAGAAAAGAAAGAAAGACGGAATTAAACCATGCAATTCCCCAGCACCCTCTATGTGATATATCCTGTCGTGTGACACTACTTCCCTGGACGAAATTTTTCACTAGGCTCTACTGCCAGTGGCGGATATGCCCAAAGCCCAGTAGGCCCGGGCCTTGGGCGGCCAATCGTGACAAAAAATTCACTGATGATTACACGAAGTAATTCTAAAGTATAGCGACAATGAATAGATGAATACAAAGAATAGCGACATCTCTAGCCAGGGCTGGTAGCTGTAAAGGTATCTAACTGGGTGACGAAATACTTTTATAAGATTTCTCATAGATGGCGCTACGGCTAAAAAAGTCGTTGAAAAAACCAATACAAAGACACAACAAACACAGAAAAATTCGTGAGGTCCGCTGGTTCGTTCCGTGGCTTAATTGGTATAGCGGCTGGCACGGTAAGCTAGAAGATGTCGGTTCCAATCCGGCCGGATTAAAGGAATCTTTTCTGAGTGTTCCATCTTTGTATTAATAATTATAACAAACTAGTGGAGTAATTTCACATAAAAATAATTAAATATCAATTGAATAAAAATTTTACTCAAAGTACCTAAATATTTAGGAAATGAAACTATTTTTCCGGATTTAAATCGCGTATATTTGTTTTTTCAAACAAACCGATTTTTTCGAAACCGACCCTATTTTTTCATTATAGTTACAATAGTTATTAATTAAATACCTTATTTTTAATTTTACAAAGAAAACAATTTACGCTATATTAAGTTTTACAAATTATTTTATTGAAAGAATTTTTATTAAGTTCAATTTATTATTTGTTTGAAAAAACAAATATACGCGATTTACCTCCGGAAAAATAGTTTCATTTCCTATGTGTAACAATCGCGAAAACCTAAGAACTCGATACCTAAATATTCTAAAGGCTCACGCACATCATGGCGGACCGGACTGCACCGCATCGTATAACAATGATCTGCCTAAATCACTTTCGTACATTTTATGTATAGAATATAGATATGTTACATATCTATAATGTAATGTATAATCACTACATATTATCACTACCGCGTCTGTCTGTCTGTTTGATCGCGATAAACTCAAAACTACTGAACGGATTTTCATGCGGTTTCCAGCAATAGGCAGAGTCATTCATGAGGTTTAAGTGTATAATTTATATAGGTCTTGTGTAAGTTGGCTGAAATATGAAGATAAGAGTTAAAGATGTCGGAAAAAGTCGGCGTGCGCCCCGTACCCTAACAGAGATATATCAAATCAATGTTCTATAAGAATATTTATAATATAATATAATTTCGACAAAAGTTGCCAATAAAGTAAATTCATTAAGGGGAGCATGCCAAAAAAGTTTTGACGTTGGCTCCGCCCACATTTGTGAGACAAATATATGCCTGAAGTTCGCGTGACATGCGACAGGAGATGTTGAATTTTGCGCATTAAAAGTACCAAATTCGTTTTAGCGGAATAACTCTAAAACTAAAGGGATTAAAAAAATCCGTACTGACAGTTCTCGATCATGCATGAATATAATTAATTATCTAATTTTTGTCCTAATAACCTGTAGCATTTCGAGGATGAATCGAAAAAATGTGAAAATTAGAGGTTATTTCGTGATTTTTATCTATCGAGGAAACTTTATTGTTTTATGTTTCTGATTAGTGTCTATGCTTGAATATATCGTGTAGTTACTCATACAATATTTTATATTTAACTTTAAAGTGGATATACCCCTCTAAAATCAAATCGAAGATTAATTAATAAATTTTTCCTCTGCTCCCTCTTAAATAGTCTACCAGTATATGATGAGTGCTGAGGAAGGGGCGGCTGGTCTGACTACATGGCCTGGGGCCTAAGGCGGACAAGCCTGCAAATCCAGTTATTCCAGTCAAAAAATACCAGTTATTTCTAGAGTGCAGTGAACCTCCACTTCTCAGTGTCTACCTACCCCAATGGGAGACAGGCGTGACCACAAATTTAATATAAGTTACTTATAAAAGTTAACTTACCTCTCTTTAGCAACGGGCAGGGAGTACCTGGCGATCCATAACCTCGCCTCTCTTAGCTGCGGGGGGCCCTCGTGGTACCACGTTCCCTCACGCCCTCTGTCCCTCTCTATGCGAGCTTCCTCTTCTTCCAGTTTCTTGTTTATTGCATCTTCACCGAGACTGTAACATTCCACATAACGTCGTCTAAGGACGTCTAATAAATATTAACATACCATTAAATACCCCCGTCATAAAATAACCAAAATATTTAATGTACCACGATGCCGGACTACCCTAGCTCCACTATCTAGATTATCCTCTACTTACAATCAAATTCAAGTTCGAATAGATATAGACATTTTTGATTCTTTCCGTAAGGTTTTCAAATATAACATTCTCGAAACGTTTCCCCAGTAATTTTATAGGTACTTTGTTGTTCTTTTTGTTGCTTATTATTATTTTATTACATTAAACGCTGTGTACGTCTGTAATAGGTAGACATATCGACCCCTCCCACGTAAAGTATCGTATGTCAAAATTGCCAAGTTTACAGGGGAGCCTTTTAAAGTTCTGAATTCACTGAAATAAGCATAACACGTGACTTTAGATTTCTCACTTTTATTCGGCATATCTCGTAACACACGTTGAGTATCATAAAATCCTAGATATCGGTTAGATGATCTATTAGATGATCACTCTATGTGAGTAACAAGCTTTGCCGAATGAAACGGAGAACTTTAAAACACTCCCCTCTAAACTTGGCAATTTCGACATACGATACTTTACGTAGGAGGCGTCGAATAAGTACAATCCTAATGTAAAGTTACACGGATATCTAAGAGAATATGTACTATTGTTGATGTACCTTATCTATGAAACAAAAATAAATAAAAGTCTTCAAATTATAGTTTGCGAGCAGCTAGTGATTGCAATCGACTATCGATAAATTTTGGTCTCGCTTATTCAATAATCTCAGTACAGTGTACTAAAAAAACCGACCTCAAAAGATCGTGGAATTACATTTATTAGCCAAGTTTTATTGAAATCGGTTACCGGGAAGTGCGCGAAACCGGATTCATCCCCCAGTTTGCCACCCTTAGTGGTGGAATATTATCTTCAAATTTAAATGGGGCCACTACTCTGCCGTCCGTTAACTAAAATGCGGCGAAGCGACAAAATATTATTTTTTTTATTTTTCAAAAAAGGAGGAGGTTCTCAAGTCGACTGTATGTTCTTTTTTTTGTTTTTTTTTGTATGTATGTTACGCGATAACTCCGGTATTTGTGAACCGATTTTCATGATTCTTTTTTTGTTGGAAAGGGGGTACTTCCATTTCATTTTCAAGAAAATCATCCACCTCAAAGGGTGGCTGTTCACGCATGAATATTCATTTTTATAAATAGCGCCTAACTTTAATTTAGGAGCAATTACTTTTAGCAATCTTTAGTTGATTTTGCTATTTCTCCAATTCAAGGCGTTTTTCTCTCGATATACTTTGAGTAGTGTCGTAGTGAGAATCTATTTTTATTATCTCCAGTATCAAGTCCTGTATAGTGGCAAACTAGGGGATATTTCAATGAAACTTAGCAAATAGACGTAATTCCACGTACTATTGAGGTCGGTTTTTTTAGTACTCTGTACTGAGAATATGAGATATCATAAAAAACCATAACCCAGTTTTAGAATATTGACATTGTTTAATGATATTTCATGTATGCGTCGTTAAGTTACGATAAGTCGAACGCAACATCTAGTTTTATCTGTTTTTAAAAGAGAATTTTGTGCTCTATCTTTTTCAATTTAAAACGGATATTGGACCATTTGTCACTTACCCGCGTTTTAGTTAGTAGACGGCACCCTCTTTCCAACAAGGATCAAGAAAATCGGTTCACAAATTGTTGAGTTATGGCGTAACACACATACAAAAAAGAAAATAACACAGACGAATTGAAACCTCCTCCTTTTTTTGAAGTCGGTTAATAAATAGCGGAACTTGTTTCATTTGAATCATCACCAGGCCATTATTCGTCCAACTGCTTGGCACAGGTTCATCCGAATTGTCAATTTTTATAGTTCATACATACACTGCATTTAATGTATGTATTGTCTATTAAAAATATAAAAAGGAGACACATTTGAATGTCTTTAATACTTGTATGTCAATTGTCAACATTCAAAACTCACACATTTTTGGCAAAATTTATCTTCTTTCACAATCTATCGATAAAAGTGTCGACTAGTGAACAACTACATAAAATTAAAATTCATGACTACTTAGAATTTTATGAAAACTGGCAACCCTGCAAATGTTATTTTACTCTGTCTTAAAAAAAGACAGAATACAGCATAGTTTCCCAAAGTGGTCCCTATCGCTACCCAGTGGGCGTTGAAGAGTCCTAGGGTAAGGACCTCGGAAGCAATTGGGGGCGCGTTGATGAAAACCCGAATTATCTGTGTGAACTACACTACACAAATATTTTTTTTCCTTGTGATTTTTTGTGTTGTTAATATAAAAAATACGTGTTTTCTAATAAAAATAATACAACCCGTATTCTAGGATAAAATGAACAACTTACTAGCTTAGCAGATCTCTCAGTCTGACTCTACGTTCAGCAGGTCCCTCCCCAAACAGACAAACCGGCTCTCCTAACTGCCGCAGACTTCGCCGGACCTGATTTGAACAATAAAGGTGGAATTTGATCTCCGGATCTTTGTTTCTGAATTGATCGTTGGGAAAAGCACCCAACATGACTCCGTCCATGGTATTACACTGGGTTATTTGTAAAAGAAATACAGGAAGACCAATGACCAGATAGGGGTGATATCCTATCAACAACAGGACCACACTGGATGGAAGTAGCAAAGGATAGAGTTAAGGATAGAATTGGAGGAGGCCTATATCCAACAAGAGGTCCTTAATCTAAAATAATAATAAATATATAAATAGTAAATAATATAAATATGTGATATAACAAAAAATAAATTTTAAAATGGAAGTAAAATTATGTAATAAATGAATGAATGGAACGGTTACAATGCCAGATTGCCACGCAGAGGTCCCAGGTTCGATTCCCGGGCCGGGAGAAACATTTGTATGGCCTATATTTATTAACGTTGTTCGTCCGGATGAATCCAGATACACTCAAAGGGCTTACAATGCTCTGCGCATCCAATATAACAACGCCTTCAGGGTGCTGTTGCGGCTGCTGCGATTCTGTAGTGCCTCGAGCATGTTCGTTGAGACACAAACAGACAGTTTCCACACAGTATTATAGACAGAGTGTGGGGCAGCAGTAACAGCATCTTGAAGATGACGTCTAAGCAATTTGATTATCCCTTGATGTGAAAACTCACTTAAAGGATGAAATCATTGTTAATTATTAAGTACCACTGTAGGCTAAGAGTTACTAACACAATTGTGGACCTATTAAGTTGTCTGAATTATAAATAAATAAAAAAAAATTATTTCTCTCATGAGTTTGGGTGTAATTTGTGGTTGTCTATATGTGTGTCCATGGCACCCGCGACACAGGCTTTCCCCAATGCGGGGCTATATTGAGTGTGCGAGTGTGTGTGCGTTATTAAATTTCAATGATATTTAAAACTGAATTTACAAAAAACTATGTTAATTAATTAAGGAACAATAAAAGGCTTTTGATTTCATTTGTAAAATACAAACAAGTTCGCAGGACATGAACAACAGTCATTGTTCCTACTACCTGACACTTTAGAACTGTATTTAGTACGAGACAAAAACAGGTAGCTCGTCTTTTGGAGATTTCTCGCGCACCCTCAGGAATTCCCGTATAATAAACAAGTGGTTTGTATGTGACGTATAGTTCTTTATGCTATAGACAAACTTTCCTGGTTAGAAGTTTGATGGCAACAGAAAATACACACATTTTCACTAATGGCAGAGTTATTATGACCATGTATATCAATTGTGACTTCATTTCCGATGTCTCTTATAGTCCCGAGAACATGCACGTACCTCATCGTCATCAGTAGACACGTTAAGCTGCCTGGCTTTTCGTCTGCGTTCAAATTCTTCCAGGAGAGCCTTCTTGTCCCTGGACATTTCTTCCTCCAACTCCATGTACTCTGAAATATGATAATGTTATTACTGTCAACAACACATATATCTCACTTTTTAAATCATATTTTGGTTGAAGCAAACGAAAGAGAGGACTAACAAAGGGCACAAAATATTTTGTTATAAATTGATTATTGAGTTTTTTGTCAAATAACTCCACTATAATTTGTTATGATTTATTATTAGTTGTAATAATAATAATAATAATAATAATAACGCTCACACTCAACATAGCCCCGCACTAGGGAAACCCTGTGTCGCGGGTGCCATAGACACACACATAGACAACCATAAATTACACCCAAACTCGCGAGAGAAATAAATGTAGGCCATACAAATATTTCTCCCGGCCCGGGAATCGAACCTGGGACCTCTGCGTGGCAGTCCGGCATGGTAAACGTTCGGCCACGGAGGCAGTTTTTAATACAAAGATCGAACATAGAGAAAAATTTCTTCAACCAGACAGGAAATGAAGCTATGACCACAATGTACCGCAATGCTGCTCTTTAACAACTGAACTCAAGTTATCAGGTAGATGAAATTCTTCTATGTATCTTCTAATAGATTTTTGTACTGGGATAAAAAAGCTTCTCACTCAGCCGGTTTATTTTTATAGGTCATACTGAAGCGAAGGTGGCACTGTGTTAAAGTGACAAAAAACTTTAACCTTTTTTAAAATGTTATTGTAATTTGAATTTGACGGTCTTGTTTCAAGTAGAACAGACTTAAACAAACACTTTTTATTCTTATAATTCTTCGTCTATGGCTGATAATTATCCAGAAATGTGTCGAGAAAAAATTATGTTTACTAGGACCTCAGCACAGGCAAATTTTTATAAAAATCATTATTAATGCATGTATCAAATAGATTACACCTAGATAGAGACTTTTTGTTTTAATAAATGTATCTCTACGTCTGATACATGCAAAAGAGTGCTCCAAGGTGGAGTACGGGTCTCTAGATTCTTTTTTTAAGCATAGACAACTTAGAGTTTAGATGGTGGCTCTAGTTTTCAACAAACTTACTTCTGGCACTCGCTGGCTGCTGTCGCGACACATTCGCTTCACACGCTCGGCTCGTTCTGCTTTTTCATATACTGACCTAACATAAACCCACAGGAGGGGATCTAACCAACTCGGAAACGCAATCAAATTCATATCATAACAAAATTTATTCTACTTGAAATAAGCATTAACAACAAATATTCTGTCTCATTTCCATAGTGCCCTCTTTTGTTCAGTCCAACCGCATTATAGCTACCACAAGCCCTTGGTGTCACTATTCACCCTTAAAGGGCGTGAAATAATGAATGAAAGCTTCCATGGAGAACCAATAATACCATGAAAATTCGTATAGTGCAGAAGGTTATTCAGTTAGGTTGTATGAAAGGGGGCTCTCTGAAAATGGAAAAGAAAATTTGAAATAATTTTAAAAATTTTGTTGCAAATTGTTTTTGATGCTTAATTCAGCTAAATTGGACTTAAATAAACATTTTTTGTTCTTATACATTTTTCTCTACGCTTTATAGTTTCGGAGAAAATTAAGCACAACATTTTCATTTGCTAAGGCTTACAAAAACTTCCAGGTCAAATGTGTGTGCACGATAATTTTTTTTCTCGAAAAATATAAGGTTTAAAAAAAAGTGAATAAAAAATAAAAAAATGTTCATTTAGGACTAATTTACCAGAAACAAAAATTAAAAACAATTTATAACAAATTTTTTTTTTTTTAATTTTTGTCCTATTTCCCTTTCCTACACTGTGACCAGTTACTCGAAGTAATTATTCTACGCAGACGAAGTCGCGGGTAGCATCCAATAAAATTCAACTACAAAGTGCGTACACTTGCCAGATTAACAAAAATAAACAATCGCAAATTACCATTGGATATTTGGATATCTCCCAACTCTTTGCCGCCACTATCTTCGACCCCTTCTCTGACTGCAGCCGCCAGGGCTGCCAATCGGGCTTTTTCCTGCTCCTCCAGCGATCCATAGTAGACCTGCTTGGCTTTTTTCGCTGGAATTAGATCCTCGTCGTCCGACATGTTCTGTGAGGTTATATTTATCTCTAACAGTAATAAAAACTGATATTAATAACTTATATGTGTCTCTAGTGGCATATATTTAACTTTAAATGACAGTTATGGGACAATAATGTGATAAAATTATGAAAAACAAGCGACAACAACAGCAGTTGAGGTTACCGTGCAAACGTCAAACACAATCTTTGGTCTTTCCGTTGGAAGCTGTCACTTATAATTAGTGTGAAACAAATTGTAATTTTGTTGTACAGATATTTATTACCGCGTCACAAAAACCGACATTATTTTAATTATGCTTATTAGTTGTTCATTCATTATGAGTTAATGTTAATTATCATTTTTTTATTTCAGTATTTATCATTCCGAATCCTTACTTAGTACGTAGGACGGAACGTAAGGAATGGAAAACCATAGACAAAAGAGCTATAGTGTACCACATATAAAAAATACCCTGAAAGTATGGAGAAGTTGAACCAGTTACATTTATTTTTAAACTCCTCGTCATCAACTGGTTATACATTCGAATTATCTGTATTTTGTAAATAAGAAAAGTACATTTCAAATGGTCGTGTTGATTAAACACTACTACTAATTAATAAGAAGAATAAGTAGAAAACACTTTTGTTGTCGCTCTCCAATCCTTGGAGCTCATATATGAGCTTTATAATTATAAATATTATCCTTATCGTTGTCTAAAATTTCGACTTCAATTGTCTATAAACTCATGTCTTCTAGATCTTCAGTGTAATTCATGTCTCTTCATTGCCAGTAATCGCAATTGAGGGAGTTAATTTACCTAAAGTATGAACGTTTTCTTATAAATACCCATTTCGTCATCAATGAGTTTAAAATTTCTTTTTTACTGTTAATTTTCTAAACATTCACAAATATAAGGTATTTAAATACGTAGGTATATGTCTATGGAAATACAATTGCAATAATTTTTTGAGACCTCGCTTGCAGTCAAAGTTGCATAATCGAATCACTAGAGTAGTATGTATTGAACGTGAGTGAACGAAACAAAAACATCAATAGCTGTATTATCCAAGAAACTTATAGTAGGTATTTATTACACTTAATCGTTTGAACTGCTGCAGTGAAAATTTTAAATCGTTTAAGCTGTGACAATTATTTTAACACTGCGTAAAGATTTATTTGACAATGATATACCTTAAAGAGTTTGCCTTCCTGTAATACATCACTAGCCATAGTTTTCGCCATAATCGATAAAGAAGAGAGAGCTCATTCTAAGCTCATGTAAACGTTTTAGTTGCCAGTACTGTTGGGTAATTTTTCGAAAATTTTGAAATAGTTTATTTCTGGAAAATTCCCAAAAAAATTGAAAAAAATATCATTTCGAAGGCTCGTATTATGTTCTACGTTTAAAAATATCTTTTAAAGTTTTATTTAGCGTCAATTGTAAAATAAACTTGTACAGCTATTTCACAACAGCGAAAAAGAACTTTTTAATGGCTCCAACGTTTTCTATCAGTAACTTCAATATATTCAGTAACTTCTTTTATACGTCAAATGTGAAAAATTTTAATAAAAATATCCGGAAAAATATTAATTTTTCTTTAACTGCCTCCGTGGCCGAACGCTTACCATGCCACGCTGAGGTCCCAGGTTCGATTCCCGGGCCGGGAGAAATGTTTGTATGGCTTACATTTATTTCTCTCGTGAGTTTGGGTGTAATTTGTGGTTGTCTATGTGTGT